GAAGAAACAATATCCTACCTCATCAACTCAGCCATACAGAACAGTCATAGTATAAAATGTGTCACGATGGCCATCATCAAATCATCCTGGGGCAAAAAGTCTGTTTGCAGTACAGCCCACCAGGAACATAATGGGATCATCTGGCACCATTTTGCCTGGACCAGTATTTATTTTTGGTCTTTCAAGGCCATATAAAATATGTGATCGTTCTCGTCAGCATTAGTCCAAATGAATGGTGGCACTTTGCTATAAGATAGCTGAACATCAGTGTGCCTTCAAATTTATATTCATTGCATATGAGCAGCAGCAACATTTGCAACATTCCTCCAAGCTATATTCCCAGGAGTCAGCCATCCACTTTTATCCAGAACATTAGATTGATTATCTCTCCCAGAGAGCTGCAATCTTTGGAAGGGCAATACTCTGTATGGTCATTTTATGAAGATTAGATTTTCAGGTAAGAAGCATGTTTTTCATGCATGACTGTAAATCATAGAAAACATGATAAAAGTTTGGATATTTAGCTGTAATTTTCATTTTATAATAAAATAACAAAAGGTTATTGAGAGCATATGAATCTCTCAAGAGCTCTGGAGGAAATGGATTATCTGCATACATTTATATCTGGATTCTGTCCTGCATAATATGGAAACAAATCCACACCGATTGCTCCTATGGAGGATTTGTGGCAAGACTGAGATAGGGGAAGGATGACTGCCTTGCTACTGTTTGATTTCTCAGAAGTCTCCATGTTATCCTCAGAAGCCTTCATGTTGCACTTATAGAACTGTGTGCAAGAGTTAGGGGTAGAAGGCACTGCTCTTTAATGGTTCACTTTTTTTCCTAAACAAATAATTTCAGGAAGGTGAAGAAAAATCGTAGCTTTGGTATGTATATGAAGCTGCAGGAAGGTGAGGGGAGACAGTCTATTAAGTTGAAGTCGGGAATCATTAATATGCTGAAAATACTCGCCTTTACATCTCAGCTGAATAGAAGTGCCCCAGGGTCTGGATAAAGACAAACATGATTAGACTTAATCCCAACAAGTAGTATAGAAATATTGTGATTTCAGATAAATTTGATCTTTAATTCTGAATAGGATCATGTTTTGCCAGTCAGAATTGGCCCATAAAATAAGGTCCTTCTATTCTCACAGCTACTCCTTGATGAGGAGCAAGTAGCAGCTATGAGAGGAGATCTTTCACACAGCTCTGTCTTGTGCATCAGGTATAATCTTTCCTCAAGAAGTTGTCCCAGCTCACTTTTACTTCTGCTTTGGTCACCTGTTGTTTGGATTACCACATTGCTTTTACATAGGACTCCCTTTAAAGTGGCTCAGAGAGATGACTATTAATCAGTTCACAGTGTAACTGCTCTGAGAATTGTACTATTTACCAATTTGCTTCCTGGTGTTGTCACTTTCATAGCACTATGTAGATTAGGGCCTGTGTATCTTTGGAGCCATGTATTCTGCCCATCTATTAAGATCGGTAAGAAAGCACTTTATCCCAGGCCCTTTTTCAGGGAGTGTCATTTGTAGGACCCATGGCACAAGGCTTCTTCAATTGCTGCTCCCAAATCTGGAACACAATTCATCCAGTTATTAGGTTGGCTCTTGTGTTCCTGAGTTTTCAAAAAGACCTGCTTTTTGCAGGACTTTGGGACATATTGTTATCTTGTGCCTGCCTGCAGAAGAATTAACTGCATGTGAATTATTGCTAATAATCCCTGAGATCTTTGGGCTAATATTTTTATTTATTATTTGTAATTGGATTGTTGTATTGAATATGTACATCACTAGGAGTCTACTACGATTGGAACCCAGCAAACAATCAGTGAGATAGGCAGACACATCTATTTATATCTATATCAATATCCTTATCTATATCTAATCTATATCTCTATCTATTATCTATCTACCCATCTATTTATCTTTTCCAAGTCATATTGTTGTCCAATGTGTAAAGTCAAAATGCACTGACTTCCTTAAAGAAATGCTATTGGGTGAAATGAGAAATACATATTCATAGAAATAAACAGCAGAAGAAGTTCAGAATTTTGTATATTATGTGGGTATTTTTTGAATGAACTGAGAAGCATTAAGATATTTGGATCATTCTAAGATGTCAGGAGAAACACTAGCCCACTGTTACATGTTACTTACCAGCAGTTGCTGATAAGAACTCAGAATCTTAAGATTTTCAATGCGTGGAGATTCTTTGCTCATTTTATTCTATTCATATATATAGCCAAGTGGTTATTTGGGAACCTGATGATTTCAAAAATAACATAATTTGCTTCAGCTTGCTTTTAGCTGTTGTTTTTACATTGTACTTCAGAGCTCAGTGCTTTGTATTTATTAAAGTGTGGATGTAATTTACCTCCCAACATATCTTGACACATTAATAGACCTAAATCATCTGAACTAATTTAGAGCAAATTAGTCCCATTCTGTAATCTCACCATTGTATCAGTTGAGAAATAACTCATTTGTAACCTTGTCTTTTTTGTTGTGTGCATATCACAGCAGCATTGTATAATTTCCCACCAAACCAAAGACAACAAGATAAATTCACATGTTCAGGTGTCATGGCACTATACAAGGAATGGACTACTTTTATTTGGAGTTGCGGTATTTTCCTGCTTTATCATTCCATCAAGCAGTCTTTACCTTTAAGAATTATGTGGATAATCTTTGGTCTGCTACTGGTTTTTTGCCCTGAAATATCTGGCAGTAGTGGCAGTGAAGTTGTGATTCTTCTTCCTGATCAGGTTAAAATGTAGTATAATTACTACATCACTGAATAATTGCACTTCCCTTTCAGCCTAATGCATTATTACATTCTTTTTATTTTTTAGGGAGCTTTTGGATTAAAAAAAATTACTCTGCACAACCCTTATTTGTATTCTTTTATCTATCTGTTAATTATCTGTATGAGTATGCATGCCCACACAATTTAGGCAGATGTGTTTTGGGGGAGAGGTGATAAATAATATCTTATTATAGAGCAAAATGTATCCCACAGCCTGTGTTCTCCATTCAGAATTTTCAGTGTTGCTGCACCTGCTATTTAAAAGATTAAGAAAATGTTATTTGCGTAACTTTGTCTAGTCTTAAGTTTAGAGCAGAAATGTTCATGTTAAATATGTTACCATGGTCACATAATCTTCATTTGCAACATTCCCTGACACCTTCCCACAAGTCAATGAGGAAGCCTGGGAAGCTTACAGGGAAAAAGTCAATGGGAATCACAAGATTGCGGCTGGAGTGCAGCAGAGGTTTGGACTTCCATTCTCTGTTTAGATGAGGAAATATGTCTGAAAGGATGACTCAGCGGGTTACGGGCTGTCTAGTATATCATGAAAGCTTCAACACAGGTATAGGCTCATTAGCCTGAAAGTAATACGAAATAACTAAAATGTAATAAAGATATTTCCCATGGTTACAAAGAAATATCTGTGTATCTTTCATAGTCCTTACCACAGTGGCACACTAGAATGAAAAAAAGCTAAAAAGGGTGAAATGAATCTTTTAGTTTGTTTAAATCCAAATTATCATTGTTAAGCTTTTATTTTTAGAAAAACAAAGATGCTTTGATTTTAAAATTTTGCTAGGGGAGGGGAAAATATTTCCTTTGAGAAATAGAAGTGACAGAATTATTTTAAGATTAGCAATGGTGACAAAAGTGCTAAGTTACAACTGCCTTCCCAAATAGACTCCCCCTGGGTGTGTTGGATGGCATAATGATACATGCAGTGTTTATTTACTTATTTATTTATGTCAAGTGCTTGCTTCAACCAACACAAATGTAAAATAATATCAGGAATGTAATTAACAATAAAAAATAGGGAAGTCCTAATGCAGGTAGTCCTCTACTTACAACAGTTCATTTAATGACCATTCGAAGTTACGACGGCACTGAAAAAAATTGACTTATAACCATTTTGCACACTTATGAGCATTGCAGTGTCCCCATGGTCACGTAATTTACATTTGGCTGCTTGACAACTGACTCACATTTATGGTGGTTGCAGTGTCCCAGGGTCATGTGATCCCCTTTTGTGACCTTCTGACAAGCATAGTCAATGGGGAAACCAGATTCACTTAACAGTCGGGTTGCTAATTTAAGAACTGCAGTGATTCACTTAACAAACGTGGCGAGAAAAGTCATAAAGCGGGGCAAAACTCACTTAACAAATTTCTCACTTAGCATCATAAATTTTGGGCTCAATTGTGGTCGTCAGTTGAAGACTACTTGTACATTTGGATTCTGATATGGTTCAGTCATCCAGGAGTATATACAAAAAAGTCAAGATGATGGCCATGACAATACAGTTGAATCTGCATTGTGTGTGTGTGTGCGTGCTCACACGCAAGAGAGAGAGAGAGAGAGAGAGAGAGAGAGAGAGAGAGAGAGAGAGAGAGAGAGAGAGGAAATCAGACAGACAAACATGATGCACATAAAAATAGGTGGATCTTCAATCACACCATTGCAGCCACAATCTTGACATTTTTAAACCATACCCTGTAGGCATCCTTTGATGCAGCAACCTAGTTCCAACAGTAACCACTCAAAAACTTTTGACAACCCTACTGGGGTTGACAAAAAAGCTCCTTTTTTAGAGGCATGCTGTTTCTGACTATGGCAGGTACTTTTTGATGGCATGATTGTAGCCTTAGGTTAATCTAATCACTGAAATTTTCTAATCCCTTTCTAAAGTCAGTAATTTGTATCCTCTTCTTCAGCTGGAAACTCCTCACATTGCTTAGTTTTCTTGAATTGCTATCAAACTCTTTCACTTGATCTAGAGTTACAGGGTTATAGAAGAACATAGTATGTCCATTTCCCCCATCTTTTGCATGATTTTATTAACTTCTATCATGTCTCCCCTACCATCATCATCACAGATACCATTTCTCTGTAGTAGTTAAGGAGCATTGACCTCTTAACTTTTATATTAATGATTATTCATTGTTCCTTTCCCTTCTCCTATAACAGTTTACTTGACAGCCCGAACCGTCTTGATGAAGAACATAGACTGATTGCCCGGTATGCAGCAAGACTGGCAGCAGAGACTACTTCATCAGTAAGTAATTTTAATTAGGGAGAGAGATGAAAACTTTTGTTGTAATTGCAGTCTGGCACATCTTACTATAAAGTTGCCTTTTTCCTTGGATGTGCTTGTTTTGCATCTAATGAACCTAAACATAGTTAAAGAAAAATTGGTACAAGCACCAGCCCTACCATTAGGCAACTGAGAGAATTGACTCAGATAGTGGATACTTGATGAGGTGCAACCCTGGCAGTCTTTTATGTATTTCTCCTGAAATATCTGTTTTCACTTTTAGAAGTTAGAATTGTGTATGCTACAGAACTAGTCCTGGGTGTCCTAAAGTAACCACTTTCCGGTTGGACAGTTACCAAATTAACAATACCTACTATTGTAGTATATTTGTAGATGGAAGTCCCTCAAACTTCACATTCTCAGTTTCTGTTTGTGGAAAGTATTTAGGCCCTTCAGTGTCTTATAACTGTACATTTTTAAGCGTTTAAATTATGCTATTTCATTATTCAGTGTTTTGTTGTTTTAGCATTGCTTTTCAAATTTTATTTTTGTTCTTAAAAGCAGGATATGAATTTATATGTAAAACAAACAAATGACAATTATTAGTACCAATAACAATATTAATAAGAGCTAGCAAATTCTAAAGAAGAAAGCAAATTGTTCTATTAAAAGTCTTCTGTGAGATAAAAAAAATCTGGCTTCTTGCTTTGCACACAGTCTTTGGTGTTGCTAAAGTTGGGCTTTTGAGATTATTTGTCTTTGCTTCTTCTTTTTTTCAAGACTTTGAGAGAATACCAAGCTTCATTCATTTAATTTCTTTGTAGTATTAGAAAATAGACTTCTCATCTTAAAAAAAAATCAAATGGTAGCTTTGGGAGGTGCCCACTGATGCAGATGCAATTTCTAAGTACTAAACTTAGAGCTTTGGAGATTTGATATTGCAGGGACAACAAAGGGAGAAGCTCACCCAACAATGTATCCTTAGGGCAAAAAGGCCTTCACTAGCAGGTGGGCTTTCTTCTTTTTTCACCCCTGTGTGCTTTGAAATTTCTCTGGTACATATTGAAGATATCTTACTTTTTCTGTGCCTCAAAAAAATGATCTGTACTTCGTTGTTTGTGTTTTGAGTTGGTTTGGAAAGCCTTGGATCAATGTAATATACATTGTACTTCAGGTAAACAAAGAACATTATGTAGTCAGTCTTGCAATGTGCAGAATAAATTCTTGTGACAAGCAAGTTATTGATTATATAGCTACTCATCGGAAAATAGAAATTATTGGATGACATTAGGCAATGGATGATTGCCTAATACTATAGTGAAATTTGTCTTCCAATTTCTAAAAACTTATTTTAATTCTCAAAGAGGCTTCTGATCGTTTCCTCAGATTTAATTAATTTTTTTCACTTTTTGTGATACTTTTGAATCTTTTTAGGGTGGTGGAATGTTTGTGTAGGTGTCTACTATGAACAGCTACATCATTGTGTACCTCATTGCCTGTGCTTTCTTATTAGAAGCATTATATTACATAAGGAGTCAAGATGCTATTCCTTAACATTTCAGGTCTAGAATATCAAAAGAGGCCACAGATCACTGAATAAATTATAGTACAAGATATTCCTAAGGCAGCTGCAATAACTTTGTACCCCATCGATGAGAGATTTTCCCCAAATTGTTGTTCTTTGAGGGAAAAAGCCTAGAAAACTGCTTCTGGTAATTGTTGTTGTTCTTTTCCTCCCTCTCAGCAGCAGAAGAAATATTTACTAAGTATAATTTGCTCTCAGTAAAATGTTAACTGTGCAACTGGCAACTGACAGTATCATAGAAAATAATTTTTAATTACTTAGCAATTGGATTGTACTGGCCAGAAAGAAAAACAGATTCTAACTGAACATAACCTAATAAAGTCTACTTGACTTCTTTGGCATAGGTTGTGTTTCTCTTCTTGCTTTTTAATTCTTAATTTTCTGAATTAACTATTTAAGAGTTTGGGTTCCTCTTGATTCCCAGTTCTTGATTCATTCTAGGCTGATACCCATGATGCAGAGATATAATGCTATACTTAATTTAATCACATCAGTGGAATAAAAGAGTAGCAGAGAACCACCAACTTAATATGACATTGGCAATGTGACAAGGAAGGGTTTAATTCAGACTGTCCATTTTCTTGTTCTATTTATATAGCTACCTACTCACTTTGTGACTTTGGAACCTAACATCCAGTTAAAAAGCAACAACAAAATGGCCAAATAAAATTAAGAATATATCACACCTGAGGTCACTTATAACATATGAAAACAGCCCCAGTGACTTAGAGGAAAAAAACCAAGTCTTCAATGCCCTTTAACAAGCCACCAGGGTCTGATACACTGATGTTGCTTCTGATAAGGATACTCTGTTAGGTCAGAATTCTTGAAAGTCTTAGGGAGTTTCTGATTTAGAATGGCTGTTGGTTGTTAGTCTGTGAGATTTAGGGATGAATTGGATACCAATTTTCTTAAGGCAGAGATGGGACTGGATAAAGCACAGCTGATGGAAAACTAAACACAGTTTTCATAAATACTGTAATGTCTTAACCATTTTGCCCTATTGTACCGTTTTTTTTTCAAGCAGTACAAAATCTTTTCCAGCTAGGACAGGGAATTCTTGAAAGTTGAGTATGACTTACTTGATGAAGGTTAGATTGCTTAAAGACTAATGTAGATGTCCTGCTAACAGTGCAGTGAATCAGTGTGTCCAAAAGGCATTGTCTACTTCCATCTTTTTCATGGTGTTGTTGATACTGCTAATCCTCTATAATGCTGTCACCTTACTCTTCTACTTAAACCTACTTATATCTTGAGATAGCTTGGCTGTGCCAATTCTACTGATAATTAACAGGGACTCCTTCATTATTCTTCTTAGATGTCCTCAGAATGGTGGCCACCAATTGAGAGTGGCAGTTTAAATATTGCAGATACTCAGATTTGAGAATCGGCATCTGACTCATACACTTGCCAGTTGATCACTATCTACGGGATGAGGGCCTAATAATCCAATGTTTATTTAGATTCTCCTTGCTACTGTTGGTACTATGAAGTGAGTAATATTCTGTCAAAATATGGAAATTTTTCAAAGAGCAGGATATAGATACCAAAATCTTCTTGGGAAGTTACCAGCAAATGTTTTCAATCCAATAAACAAATGTGAAAACAATATAACTAGCTAAGGTAAAGGGGAACTTGTTGAAATAATTTATATAGGCTACAAGTAAACTTGACGATTAATTTCTACTTCTCCTGGACCAGAGGGATTGGTTGTATCAATGAGTGCTTTTCCCATATTTTTTCTCAGAATCAGGGATTCAACTTGAAATCTCTTACAGGGTAATATGCCAATAGGTTAAAATTCCACATATAGCCCATTCCATGCAAGTCTGGAAAGAAAGCTGTGTTCTATGATTAGAGCTGAATCCAGAATAGAGTATATCATGTTAATAATTTTAGGGACATTGCAAAACGTGTTAGTGATTTCTGTCTGTTCTAGTGACTTAAAATAATAGCTAGGTGCCTGGCACTAGGAGATCTAAAATTATTTGCTAATTCTTATTTTTCTGTTGAGATTTGTTGGTCAGAAAGAAAAATCCCAGAGCTATTTTTTAAGACCTTTTGGTTCCTGTCACATTGTTTCACTATCCCATTAAATAATCACAGTCATATACATTTTCTCCTCAAAAGTATATCCCCTTGAGTTTAATGAAACTATAAGAATCTCCATTTACCTGCCCTACCCAACCAAGTCAGCAGAGGTTGCTTTAACTTATATTTGCTGTTGCCACCTTCTTTTTCCTCATACCATTTCCAGCCACTCTAGCACTCTCCTTCTTGACCATTTACTCTCAAGAGGAAGGAGTTATATTTGGCCAGGAATTTAGTCAACAGACCCTCTTGGGCTTTCTTACTAGTGAAAAAAGAGTTTAGGTTATAATCTAGGGACCTCCAGAAATTTTTCTGGTTGGATGTGCCTGTTATATCCATTTACAATGGGTCTAGGATTACAGCTTAAGGCAGAGTATTGTCTGCTGTGTTTTAAGTTTACTATCTGTCCACCATTTTGCTGCCTTATAAAATAAAAGACTCCTCACGCAGACTTAAATACAAATGTGTTTTATTTAGCTCACAATGTCTATGAAAACACCCTAGTTCTGCCCTTCCTCTAGATGGGTAAGATTTCTATTAAAATTTCCCAGTCCTAACAGTTATACTGTAAATTAGATGCAAAGGTATTATCATCTATGTTACCATAGAGGTGAAATGAGAGAAATTATATATTTGTCAAATATATAATGTGAAATCTCAGCTAAAGTGAATTTTGAAACCAGGGACTTAGCTATGACATTACGCTTATGTACAGTATACTTAGATATACTAAGGGACATAACTATTGTTTACTTCCTTTAAATAATATTCATTTACATATATATGTAGTAACATGTTCAATCTGTTTTACAGCAGCCACAACAGCAACCACAACAAAGAGGTGCTCCAGATATTTCATTCTCTATTGATGCAAATAAGCAACAACGACAGCTTATTGCAGAACTTGAAAATAAGAACAGGTAAAGTTCCGAAACCTACATTAAGCCAAATATATGTGTGGATAAAACATATTGCATATATACAGTAGTTGGTAACAAGGCAAAATTCACAACATTGCCTATAAGAAAACCCATAGATATATTACGGGTGATCATCATACAGAAAAGTTTGCTTCTTTTCTTTGTTATGACATTGTTACAGAGTTAATATTTTAAAATATACATTTAAGATTCTTGTGGCAGAAATCTGCTAGTCCTTTTCTTCAGAAAACACATGATTTAGTAAGAAGTGAGAGAAAGAAAGAAAATAGCAGGGTTGAAGGAGAAATAATATGCTGATATTACAATATAACCAGTTTCATATAGTGGTTAAGGCACCAATTTAGAAACCATGAGCTCTAGTGGCATCTTAGGCATGAAGCCAGCCATTTTTATCCTGATAATATTTAATCTTTCCAGACTTATAAGATGACTAGAGAGAATTCTCAGTCATTCTAATGGGGGTGCTGGTGATTGATAGCCGTAGTCCTGACTAATTTTTGCAGTGTTTGTCTTGGGCAGCAACTTCTTGAATTACATCTGTGGCAATTTTTGAAGAGTTCCCGAACGGAGGGCAAATGGCTAGTTGTCAGAAGAGCAGCCTTAAACATTTTAAAGCTTATTTGAGTACTGTGATTTTCTCATTAAGATCCAGAAGATTATCCATAAATATCTCAAATTAGTTGACATTATTTGCAATGTTCTGTATTAAAAAAACTTTGCTCATAGAAAAAAGAAACATACTTATCACTGTTTTTTATTATCTCTCTTCTTATGCCAGAGAAATCTTACAAGAGATTCACAGACTACGGCTTGAACATGAGCAGGCATCTCAGACCACCCCAGAGAAGGCAGCACAAAACCCTACGCTCCTGGCAGAACTTCGCCTCCTGAGGTAAATATGCGAAAGAGATGTGGGAAGGTAGATATGTCATATTTAGTGTAACACCTCCTATCTGTTTTGTTCAATTCCATGTAAGAGTATCTATTTTGGAAAAGAAATAATTACTGTGTCCATTTTTAAACTTACAAGAGAGAATATTCATTATTTCAACATTCCAGTGAAAGCACACATCCCTTTGTAAGGCTACTTTCCTTAACATTTTGAATACAAACAGGAGTTATCCTTACTTTATCATCCAAGGTTGAATAAAACCAGTTGTTCTGTTCAAAGAGCCAAAAGGAATATGCATAGTTTAACATCCAGTGTAGAATGGACATAGACTACATATTATGATTAAAACGTTAGACTTAGTCTAGGGCAGGGGTAGGCAACCTTGGCTCTTTTATGACTCGTGAACTGCAACTCCCAGAATTCCTGAACCAGCCATGCTGGCTCAGAAATTCTGGGAGTTGAAGTCCACGAGTCATAAAAGAGCCAAGGTTGCCTACCCCTGGTCTAGGGAGACACAAGTTTCAGTTCTTGCTCCCTGGATGACTTTGCATCAACTCCATCTTGCAGAGTTATTTTTGTGTAGATAAAATTAATCAAGACCCCTAAGGCATTCTATACTGTGAGAGAAGTAGTAAAAGTAAAGCATGCTGACATGTTTATGAATAGAGAATTATTGCTTTTGTTCTCCCCAGTTCACATCTAAGTTTGGAAGAACTTAGGAAATGAAGTGCATTTCTGATATTCAGATTGTCATATACCTCAGTTGCAGCAAATGCACTGCTTTCATCTTCAGTGCTTATTGTTTAGACAGAGGAAAGACGAGTTGGAACAGAGGATGTCAGCTCTTCAGGAAAGCCGAAGAGAACTCATGGTTCAGTTAGAAGGCCTCATGAAACTACTCAAGGTAAAATGTTCCAGCACTCTATTAAGCAAAATAGATAAAATAGATAAAATTGCAATAAAAAAGGAAGGCAGTACAATGTTATTATGGTATCATCATTTTCGTTCTACCCATTCTACAGATAGGTAGAGATGTTGGTGGTCAGATATGTTTCTCACTTCCTACAGCAATCATTTGCTTTTGTTCTCTAAATTAAAATCTCATGAAACAGTCTGAACTGAGTTTATTTATCTTTTTCTGTAAATCAAGAATTACCTCTTGACTCCTTGAAGATACTAAGTGCTGTAGGGATCTAATTTTGACAAACTCTTCAGCACAAGTAATCTGAAGAATGATTAATATAAAAGTATTAATGCTTCTGAGTAGAAAATAAGTTGAGGAAGTAGCCAAGTGTAATTGTTTGGAATTCTGTGAAAATATAAAATTTTAGACTTGTCCTAAACTGTAAGAACCTTGCTTGGCCTATTAAAGATAAACTGTGAAGATGAGTGGGGATTGATCCTAGTACTCTCAGAATAAAATCACAGCAATTGTTCAGTGAAATGACTATTAGGCAGTTTTCCTGCATCTTATATTCATTCTGTCTCTCAGTGTTAACATTAAAAGTAAATTTTCTTTGGGCATTGAATTTTCAGAAAAAATAATTTAAAAGCATAAATCTTACTAGGGCATAAACACTGAATATGGAAGACTGGTTCCAAAAGTAGTCAAGCAGGTATTTGAAGAATAGAAGTGCACAACCTAAACACTCCAGCCTAGTCTCCAGAGCTGTTTACAAGGAATCAGCCCAGACTAACAGGAAAAATCTGTCCCTTCCCTTGGAGTCTGCTAAGTAAGAGAGAAATGATTAAAGAGATTAAAAGTTAAAGAGAGGAATAATAGAGACTAAAGGAGATGAAGAAAAGGCACTGCCCTGGCTAGTAGCTTTATGTTATGCCCTAAACATGCAACTCCCAACTTGTCTCCCGACTCGAGACAAAAAAAATATTTAATAACTTTATCAACAGGGCTTGAAGGCATTGCTAATATTTATTATTCTCTTCTATTAATATTTATGTTGCTACCTCTTCCCAAAATTATGATAGTTGCACACTGTTGCTGGCAATAGCAATTATGTTTTGTTGCACTGCAATTCACTTCTCTTTTATTTTATTTTATAAAGTTAGATTCATCTAACTCATGATCATCCCATTTTTCTTTAGGAAGAAGAATTGAAGCAGGGAGTAAGTTATTTAGCCTGTCAATGTCACTAACTCATAGGGAATGTTCTTGTGATCCAGATGTGTGCTGTAAATACACGTACATAAAATGTGTATACTGCTGTGGTCAATTAAACAACACTACCTTGCATGCCTTTAACCATTTATCTAAGGAATTAAAGCAGTGGTGGGATTCAGCCGGTTTGCACCACTTCGGCAGAACCGGTAGCTAATTTTTTGTTGCCCAGGCAACAAAATGGAGAGACTGGACTTCCGGTAGTGGCATCCACACAGAGAACCAGTTGTTCACATATTTGAATCCCACGAGTGAATTAAAGTACTTTATTCAATCATCTAATTATGAGATAGTTTTATTGAGATGTCACTAAAAATGTAAGAGGTCTGCATGGCCTTCTACTGACTTAAAAGCACTTTGTCATTAAACAGTAATAACCCTGTGCAATACAAACCATAGTAGTATATGAATTTTATAGTGCAGGAATACTCAGGCTGCTGATAAATATACTTGGTGTGCTTGATTTTATTTCTCCAGATAAATCCCTTGTAATAACTTCTAAAAAGTAAGGCAATAAGAGCTAGTCTAGTCTAACATTCAGTTTATATTCTTCTTTTCCAAGAATGCATGCAGGTTAATAATTCAAGAAAAAATTCAAACATAGATTCATAAAGGGTACACAAAATGTACTGCTGCATTTGCATGCTCTTTGTAAATATATTAATTTCAGCGAATAACTAACTCCATGGGTTTACTAAACTGTAACACAATAATTGGTCAAGAGGTACTGTGAGAAGTTTCCCATGATAACAAAACTGAACTTTGATTTTCAGTTCAGTGCAATTGAAGGCATACTCGCTCACTGACAAAAGACAAAGTAGTAGCACTGAGTAACTGCTATGTCAATATCTGCTTCTTATTAAATTTTGGCAAGATGTATTTTGGAGCAAAGAACCCTTGTTAATGCTTAGTATGACAAAAAGTGTAAAATAATTGCATTGTTGAAGTTTTTTGGAGTATAAGAATTGGGAAAAATAGAATCACTTTCATAAACATATGAAGTATTAAGGTCAGTTTGATACTGTTTTACTTTCTTTAATATATTCTGTTTAAGGATGCAGCAATAATTATAGAGCATCTTGAAATCTTTTTAATTTAAACACAGAATGATTCAGTTGCTATGCTGAGGTATTTTGCACTCCGTAGTATTTTCAAGCTCAAAAATTGTGTTCAAGGAACATGGGAAATTCCCTGAATCTCCCTTTTTTAACGATCTTGTATATTTTAACTAGCTAGTCCAGTATCAACTCCATCGTTGATATCTTAAGAGGGGTTTGTTCTTTAAGGTGCAACTCCTGCTTATTGTGGATCATATCATGACAATGATATCAATTCATATAGATACAGTAATGATGTAGCTGACAACACTTTGTTTTTATTTTCTTTGGTTTAAATTATCTATGTCTTCTTTCATAAAAATATCCAAGGAGCTAACCATAATAAACATCCAGCCAATCAGAAGAAGTAGAACTGGGAAAAAAGTATATAATACCCTATTACAGGAAGAATAAAGCTAACCCACTCATTATTTCACTTTGATCCATGTAAGAACAAATATTAGCAACGTTTTACTATAATTTGCTCTGAGTACATCTTACATATAACTATTAGTGGCAGAAATCAAATGGCAATGAATGGCGTTCCATTTATATGTGCATTTCAATATTGCAGAGTTGTTTGTGTATGTATTACTTTCATAGCAGCTTTCCCCAGTCTTGATTCTGGATGGGTTGACATTACATATCTTAGCATTCTCCTCCAGTGATCCTGATGGTTGGGAAATCTGAATCCATCCAAGACTGCAACTGCAGCATCACTTTCACAGATATGAAGCACATTCATTTCTTTAGTTGTATCTAGTCAATTGCAATACTCTCTTCTCTCTGTCTTTAAACCTGCCCCTTTGCAAGCACTGTGATATTATTTCACAAAAGTATGTGAAAAAATCAACTGTAAGAGGGCTTTATGTCAGTTACAAATATTGTGATAAACATCTATTTTTATCCCTATTTGCATACTCTTTTAGAGGACAAATATTTATAATATTATAGATGTTATACAGTATATTATGTATCACTATATTATGTATCAATATATTATATGGTATATATAAACTATATATAAAACTTGATATTTAATTATGTGTTAATACATTTACATGGTGTATGATATTATTATGTAGGGGTAATCTACAGTTAGATTCACACTGGTGGAAACTTAATAATTCAAGTCCTAACCAGGGTGGAGTTTTTTGAGGGATGTTTAATATTTCCATATATTGAGAAAGTCCTTTTGGTGCAACTTTGCAGGCTCCAATCATGATTGATATAACAACAGATTTCTTTTTCCATAAGTGTTCAACTTTAATTTGCAAGTCCCAATATTTCATATTTTTTTCAATTGTTTTCCCTCAATCCTAGCTAGCATTACCTGGAATAGCAACATTGGTGAACTATACTTTCTTCTTTTTAGTAATTGTTATATTAGGCATGCTATGAACAAGATGCCTGTTTGTTTAGCTCCTAAAGTTCCATAAAATCTTGAGCCATTCATTTTCCAAAAGCATTTCAATTTGATGGCCCCAGAAGTTTCTATTACATTCAAATCCAAACCTCTAGCAAAGTTTCCAGTGAATAATTCTGGCAATCCAGTCATGACACTACTTGTAGTCTGAAATTTTGCCGCAGCAGTAATCAAATGGTCAGTTGTTTCACCTGTCATGGTTCCGACAGACAGAGATGAATAAAGCAGAACTCCAAGGCTTGCATATTCCTCAAAGAACATGTTTGATAAAGATAATAATGATAATAATGATAAAGTTGGAAGGGACCTTGGAGGTCATCTAGTCCAACCCCCTGCTCAGGCAGGAAACCCTATACCATTTTGGACAAATGGCTGTCCAGTTTCTTCTTAAAAACTTCCAGTGTTGATGCATTCACCGCTTCTGGAGGCAGGTTGTTCCATTGGTTAATTGTTCTAACTGTCAGGAAGTTTCTCCTTAGTTCTAGGTTGCTTCTCTCTTTGGTTAGCTTCCACCCATTGCTCCTTGTCCTGCCTTCAGGCGCTTTGGAGAATAGTTTGACTCCCTCTTTTTTGTGGCAGCCCCTGAGATATTGGAACACTGCTATCATGTCCCTCCTCGTCCTTCTCTTTGTTAAACTAGACATACCCAATTCCAGCAACCGTTCCTTATATGTTTTAGCCTCCAGTCCCCTAATCATCTTTGTTGCTCTTCTATCGGTATGTCAAAAGTGAAACCAAGTCTGGATACACAAGCAACATTTCACCAATACAAAGTTAAATGTCCCACCCACAAAAGCTATGTAAGCAACTATGTTCCCCAATATATTTATTTGGTGGGCTTTTTATGAAATGCCCAGTCTCTAGTCTTGGGAGCAGCCTACAAAAAGATTATTTTGATTAACGAAGCATCTGAGCAACCCCCCTTCCTCTGTTCTATGTGGCAATGTCAAATGAGAAATGGCTCAACCATGCTCATTTATAAAGTTGACATCACCCTTTTTACTACAAAAGCGACATTTGCTTTTGTTTGTTGCATGTTCATGCAATTAGTTGACAAAGCTTGTTTTTGAGCTGCTAAAATAAAGCTTTCAGTTTCTTTAATATTCCTGATCAATCCACCTGGGATTTTTTTTAATCAGGTTTTCCTTCTATAATCTATATCAGGGATAGTCAACCTTGGCTCTTTTATGACTCGTGGACTTCAATTCCCAGAATTCCTGAGCCAGCTTAGGAACTCCCAGGAATTCTGGGAGTTGAAGTCCACAAGTCATAAAAGAGCCAAGGTTGACTACCCCTGATCTATATCCTTCAATTATTGGCTATGCATTGGCTTGTTCTTCCAATTAACAAATCAGTTTTCAGTTATTATGGTTCATTGCAGTCAACTACATAGACTGTGCAACAAAACATAATAATAATAAAAAATGGTATATTATTATTTCCTGTATTTGTAAAATGATGTTCCTTAAGCATTTCAGAGTTATTAAAAGTTATTTTGTGTAGGTTACTGACTACAAAATTCTGTATTATGAGTTATCCTATGTTCCAGCAGAGGGAGCTATATACCAAAGACAAAAAACACTACCATATTTTGTATTAAGAATGCCATATGCCAAATAAATAAATAAATAAATAAATAAATGTTTAAAAATGTATTGAGAATGGGTGGGAGAGACTTTTTCTTAGTAAATGTAAACATATGTCTGACTACATTGCCTACATATAATATGAATAAGGTTCATTAAATGTGTCTGCATGATAAGGAAACAAGTAATCGTTATCTGAATTTGATGAAACTAAATTAAAAAGTATTAGGGACTAGGGTTAAAGGGTAATGGCAGTTTCTAGACTGGATTCTGACTTCTGTCCTGTATATCCCAGAAAATCTCCCATCTGTATGGAGTAGGATACCTGGAATAGAGCATTGCCTGCTTTTTAGTTCAAAGGTCATGAGACTCATTGCCTGCTTTTTAGTTCAAAGGTTATGAGACTCCAAACTTAATTTCCATTCCCACAAACATAAGATATGGGACCATTGATGACATAGAAACACTCAGTTCCATGGAAAGTAATAAAAACATCCCTGTGACACAACTTTACTTTTTTCCTCTTACTTGGGAAGTTTGGACCAAGTTATTCTAGCTTCCACCAGCCAACTCTAAGTTCTAACATAACATAAGCCAAAGAATTCAATACCTTTTCTGTCATGATTCAACACTGTGATGGTGTCCAACAGTTTTCTCCATTGCTGCTGCCAGATAATTAAAACAAAAGAAAAATATAATTACTACTTGATTTGTCTTTTTGTTGTTGTTTAACTTTCAGGCAACTGGAAAAAAAACATCAAAAAGAAATACATTTTTGCAATTGCAGCTGGGATAATTTAAATTAATATGTGAATGTGATCTTTAAAACTCTGAGCAAGTTCACCAATCCTTTTTCCCTTTGTTTTTTGATCATTTCTGTTTTAGCGTATGTACTTTTGGTTCTAGGAACTAACAGCATATTGATCCATTCATTTTCCATCAGGATGGTAACACTATCCAGCATGGGCATATTCGATCATTTTTACAGCAGAGATATAATTGGAGATGGTGGGGCAGAAGTGTCTTCTTCTCCACTTCATCCTGAACCACTCATGGCTTCCTTTTCCCCCTAGACCCAAGGGGCAGGCTCTCCTCGCTCATCTCCCAGCCACACGATCAGTCGGCCAATTCCAATGCCTATCAGATCTGCATCTGCCAGCTCAACTCCAGCCCACACACCACAAGATTCTCTGACAGGGGTGGGAGGAGATGTGCAAGAAGCTTTTGCGCAAGGTAATGGTACAAACCGTCCTCTGTCAAAAAAATTGATAATCCATAGCTTCTTTCCTCATGGCATATCTATTAAACCAGGGGTGTCAAACTGCCGGAGGCCACGCCCACCCCATCTCCGGCAATGCAAAAAAAGTCACGATACGTCGCGACATGTCACGTGACGCGGTGAGTTTGACACCCATGTATTAAACTCTCTGAAAAGAGTTTTTCTTAAAAGAAATAATCAAGTAATTCAGAGCTTGTGTTTGGGACAAGCAGCATCAGAGGAAAATTCATGACAGACTGGAGCAGAAATGAAAAAATAACATTAGTTTTTATTGCTGCATAATAAAATAATAGGAGAAAAAAATTATTCCAATGTAATGGCCAGCTTTCTAAATTATCTGCAACAGACACAGTACCTTTTATTGGCAAATGTACTTATAGATGCATTTTATTCTCAGACAATAGCAATTGTACTTATTTATAATGTGCTATTATAAGCTGTGCTTTGTAGTTATTGTTCTTTGTGCCAACTGCTCGACAGTCCCGAGGCTTCTACACTGGCTTCCAAGGTCCTATTATAATATGGCTCCAAGTACTTCAGAGGCCAAGCTGTTGGGTATAATTTTCATGCTGTCTATCTCAGACTATTATAATTTCAAAAACGCAAAACATCTTAGAACTAAAAACAATTATACTCTAGCATAATTCACTTGGTTTGATAAGTAATTTCTCTTTAATTTTTCATGAAGAAAGCACAGAATTCAGACAGAATTTTTCTATAACCCAAATCTAACTTTCTCCCATCTGATGCTGTCCATATATTGCAGTACTTAAATCTTGATATGGAAGCACTACACTGCCTAAAAAATGTATACCAGTTCCAAACTAATTACTCTTATTAAAGCCTATCTATTCTGCAGATGTCATAAAGAAATTAATACATGTGTAGTGCAGGTAATCAGAGATTATGCTACTGTAAAAATTACCTCAACAGATTTTTAAAATTCATACATTTTAAATTGTTTTCTTAGTTGAGTTTTGTATCATTTATTATTTTACCTTGTTAACTGTACACAATGTACACAAAAAACTCAAAACATTGCTAAAAAATATTTTGCACTTTGCTTTTTTATTGATTAGGTACAAGAAGAAATTTAAGAAATGACTTGTTGGTAGCTGCTGATTCAATCACCAATACCATGTCTTCTCTGGTGAAAGAGTTAAACTCAGGTCTGATGATTTAAAGCATAAGTGTTTTATACTGGTTTAATATATAGTCTAAAGACAAGCTGCAATCTAGAAAAATGTGCTGCAAAATATTTTTAAACTACTAGTTTAGCAGTTTGAACTACCGACTTACAGTCTTTTCAGGACAAGATTCCTTCTTATTCCAGCATTTTAATTTGTGAAATTTATTTCTTTTCAGTGCTTTTTAAATGCCTGGATTTTTGTTAATTTTTATGGCTATTGAATAAGTGTTTGTTTGCCTTATTATATTTATGTAGAGTATAGCTTTGGTATCTCTTGTAATAACAGGTGCTACTGAAATATTTAAAAAATTAAATCTCACTGAAGATAATTGAACTAACTTAAATGAATTCAAATGCAGCAATGTGTGTTCTTGCTAAACAGAAGGTCAATGCTGTTTAGTTTCTTTATACAACAATACTGTCCATGGGTTCATGCATCAGTACTGTAATAGGAGGCAATCTAGTGATGTGACTAGCTGTTATTTCCTTGCTTAATAGCTTACCCAGTCATTAGAATATTCCCTGATTAATTTAGGGATACAGAGTACACTGAATCACCCCACTTGGCATCAAAACTTTATTTGTCTGTGTATGGCAAGTTATAAAAAATGGCAAGTTTGAACTGTACAAAAGTGAGAGTTCTGCATGTTTTTTTAACGTAGACAATATGGTGTTTCTTTAGCAATATAAGATGGCAATGTACAGTATGCTAAAAATAAAAACAGGAAAGAAGCATGCTAGAAATAGGAGAAAGATATAATTATCATACCAACCTATTTCTTCATACAGAAGTTGGAAGTGAGACAGAAAGTAATGTGGATTCAGAGTTTGGTCGGACTCATTTTGATGATCTTGTTCCATCACCAACTTCTGAAAAGGCTTTCCTGGCACAAATCCATGCCCGGAAGCCAGGATATCTTCACAATGTAGCTGCTACTGGAACCATTCGCAGTGACCTGTGGGTACTCCATCCTGTTTTGCCTTCTCTTTGATTTCTATCTTTTTCTTGACTTCAATAGGGCACTCAAAGCTTTTAAAATTAAGTTTCCATTTAATATTGGGATGCTTTTTAAACTAAAGATTAAGCCAAGGATAGCAATAAAGGGTGACTTTTGAACCACAATATAAAACTCTCATAAAATTTTGTGGAGAAAAACAATTTGCAGTGATTTTTATATTTCAACTCAGGTTGATAGTTGTTGATAATTAATATATACCAAAGAACAACCAAGTCTCTTTTAGTAAGATCATTTGAATCCATTCAAAGGGGCATTTCAGAAAATATGCCAAAATTGGGTGCAATTTTTTATTTCCTTTGAGAAGAATAGACTATTTTCTGTTGAAGATCAGGATACTGCTGTGATTTTAGATGTAAATTTAGGAACTGAGTGTATGATCTATCTGTGTCAAAGTTATAAGATGCAGAGATCTTGAAAAGATCTTGATCTACAGTGGAACATTATACCAAATGACCAAATGAAATTTAAGTATCTTTTGAAGTCATTGCTTCAGATATCAGTGTGATCCAGATGAACAGGACAATAAGGTGAAAGTGAATTTATCATTTGGTCTTCATTTTTAATAGTGACCTCTGCCCTATGGATTGCTCTCCCCCTTGAGATCTAGCAAACTTCCATGCTCTTAGCTTTCTGGAAAGCAATTAAGAGCTGGCATTGTTGATTGCACATTTATTTTTTTTCTTGTTTGTTGAATTGTTCTATTGTTGTATTTTTATTATTGTAGTTAGCTGCCCAGTGTTGCGTTTCAAAAAACGGGCAGCCATATAAATCTTTTAAATAAATACTATTTTTTGCTAGCTTACTTCATACTCCATAAAAATAAAATATCAAGTTTTTACTGACGCAAGTTCAAATTTTAGTCTGTCGTAGAATAGTTCAGGAAGATCTCTTCCAGTTGTTTTTGCTGAACTCTGCAGCCAATGACTGATAGAAAGGAATTATTACAGAATCCAACTGGAACTATTCCCTTCAAGTATATAATAGGAGCTTTTTTCAATTTACTAGAATATTATATTCCAATCTTTTTTTAAAGGACAGTATTTTTTTCAATTGCATTGGCCCTTTGTACATTTATTCCCCCAACAATTAATTTTAATAAATGATTTAAACATTTTAATAAGTAAGAATCTAAAATATAATATATTTAGTATAATATATATATTTTCTTCCTATTTGGGTTTTTTTTTTAATTGTACCCTAATGGATAGATGTGGGGGGGGGGTTAGAGTATATTAGTAAATTAAACAATGTCAGGAAACAAATACAGTATGGAAAGGGTGGGGAAGGGCTAAGATTATTGCCTGGCAATCATGTTCTGGAAACATTGCAAATCAAGCAGATACTGCAAGTCAAAAGGATCATGTAATTCAGTTTTTCGCAACGTAACAAACTTTAAGATGTGTGGACTTGGCTGCCTGGGGAATTCTGGGAGTTGGTCCACATATCTAAATTCCTCAGATTGAGAAACACCGATGTAATCTAAAATTGGCTTGCATTCTTCTCTGATAACAGTTGAGTTTGTTCTGCATGTTTCATGCCATTCTACTGAAAAGGAAAAATATTAAGAGGTGCTTTTACAGGATGTAAGGGAGTATAACTCTCAGTTCTGGACACCAAACATTCTGGTATTTACCACAATATACCAAACTGGCAGTCCACCAGATAATTCATAATTTTCTGAAATACAGAATTCTGCATATTACCATTATTATTTAATCGATGTATATGGCTGCCCATTTTATCTAAGCCATTCTGAGAGGCTCATAAGAAGTAAAAAACAACAGAAAATTAAAAAAGTAATACGCAAACATATGAAAGCTATCATAATCAGTATAAAATCACAATCAGCATAGAATTCATTCTGTGGAAACTCACAAAAGCTACCACACTGTAAAGCTACCACATCCTTGAATCTTCCCTAACTTTTCTGCCATTTCCATTCTATTCTGATTTTCAAAAAGGCCCTCCTAGGCAATCTGTTTTACAAAAGTTAAATTATGAAAAAAAGATACTTCATTTTTCTATACTCACATTCCACAATATAAATGACTCAGTGTGGGCTGTATACTCTGTCTGCCCACCACCACCACTGCAAACTTAGACTAACAGATGGAACTTAACTGCTTTCAGATAGGAGTATCTGAGTACAAAGTAGGTCAGGCAGTAATTGCACAACCCTATTTATTAATAATTGTGTTTAGGGTTACAGAGGATGGAGATGCTTATGTTAGAGCTGATGATGAGAACTACGAAAATGATTCTGTCCGCCAACTAGAGAATGAACTCAAGATGGAGGAATATTTGAAGCAGAAACTGCAAGATGAAGCTTATCAGGTAAAAATAAGATAAGAACTCAACAAAATTACATAGATGAAAGAAATTTCACTGTCCTAGATTTTATTTCTATTGGAAGAATATAGTGATAAGAGTGTAGATTCCAAATAATAGTGAGATGCACTCATGTTTCTGTGAATAATCAGGAAGTACTTTTTGTACTGAAATTAATAGACTGACATTAACCTTCACAAGCTGTTAGTTGGTGCATCACAAATGCTAGTAACATACTCTGTCAACAGTGTGCTATTCTATTTTCACAAAATCACTTTGAGAGTAGGTGGGTATTCACACATGCATTCTTGGCATTTTTATACTGTGAAAGGAAGTGGTAATTTGCATGTGTGAATGAGCCATCAAGACACTCTCCAAAGGTAGAACTTTCATCTTATTCAAAATCATCTCAGATACAGTATCTTTTCCTCAGCAAAATAAATAATTTTAAATTAAAACTTAATTACCTATCATGCAAGTAAGCAAAGGAGGTTAGTTCAATTCTATTCCCCCCCCAAAGAGAGCTACCACTAGTATAAACTGATAGTAGTAGGAATCTTATGCTCTCTCAATGATCTTATGCTCTCTCAATGTGGGCAAAGACATAAAAAAACAGTGATCTAGTTCACAAAGTCCATAGAAACTGCATCAGATACTAGTAATAGTGTAACTCCTGACAACAGTGGTAGAAGATATGAGTCACTGATAGCACAATTGCTCTGATGTAATTATACAGCCTATTTCACAAATATATGAACAACAGTATGCAATCACAGCTGCCAGGTCTTTAGCTGCTACAAGCCATCATATTCACCAAGTTCTTCTCAAGATCTTAGGATGTCATAAAGTATCAGCATAGTATAGGTGTGGATCCAAGCAGTATGGCCTTTTGTAATTATAACAGTATAATTATAACTAAATTATTTTTCTAGTAATTTTCTAGTATTTTAAAATTTTCTAGTAATTTAAAAAGATAGCAATCTCTGTCTACCATTATTTTGACATAATAGATATCAGTGTAAAGTGTAAAGGTCTTGGTATAGTTTGTTGAAATGTCACTTCCAAGTAAACCAACGTATAATCTGCCTACATTATGCTTATTTATTGGTAAATATAGGTTATATGTACAAGAAATATTAAAGAGATCAAAGCACTGATCAATATAGGAATGTGTTTTCTGTTTCACTATATGTAAGGAATACTGATTAATGAGCAAATTAACTCTACCTTAGGAAGTACTTTTAAATGCTGTTGAAAATTTGTAGTTTTAAGACCATTTGTACATATCCTTTTTTATATTGTAAAAGTTACAAATACAAATGAGAAATGATTGCCCATAACTGTCTAAAGTATTTAGAAATGACTTACAAGACAATCTTCTTTCTCTGTTTTGTTGGCCCTTGTAGCAAATGCCATTTTTATTCAAAAGAACAAATTGAATCTTCATCCTTTCTAGCATTTTCTGCAGCAACAACCTTCTCACAGTTTCTTCTTGCATGTTAACCTCTTCATTTGGTGTGTACTATTCTTGCATGCCCATATGACACTTCTCACTTCTCTTGAGTCCCATTGGGTGCACTGATTTGGCTGCTCACATTTTCTGTTTTCACTTTCTTTTTTACAGGTCAGCTTACAAGGATGAGTAACCATCCTTGTATCACTCTCCTCTCAAGTAAGTTTTAAGTTGGTTTAAAACTGGTATCAATCAGTTTCATTCAGCAATTGTGCTGATTGGAGTGCATGGGGGCAGGGGGGAAGCAAAGAAGTTGGCCACATTTTCTCNGCATGTGGGTCATCATGTATTAGTGTCTACACTTTTCAAAGTAATATTTTGTAACATAGCATAAAAATGTTTTGAGCCAATATAATTATGGATGGTCACAGATGTTTAGATTCAATATGGCATTTTTCTCCACCTATCAAGTCCTTTCCAAAGACCTGGGATAGGCAGATATTGTTTGATGGTGCAACCCTGTACTGTTGCAGGGTGTAAGCTGTTCCAAATAAATAGCCTTTTGCAATTGATTGATCATGATTTTGTCAATGCCAATAGTATTCAAGTGTTTCTTGTTGTTTTAATCAACTCATATGTTAAAAAATTATGAAGTGCAATCTAAAAAGTTAGCCATCAAAGAATTACAGATGACAAATGCTTTTGGCAGAATTTGTTTAAAAACAATGAGTAATTTTGAATATTAATACTTTATTTTACATTAGTACAGAAGGTTGAATTCTAGCACTCTAATCTTTTTTTAAATGCTGTGGAAGATCCTTCAATGTAATTGTAAGATTATTTTAAAAATACTTAATTTCACATAATCGAACTATAAATATTTTTCAGATTCTTCTAAATTAACATAGTTTTTAAAGGCTAGAATTCTCTTGATTACTACAATCTAGACACAACTTGCTTTTCATATAGATCAGTAGAAGTTACTTGAAATTATTTAATAGTAATATTGCTGAATCATTACTACATTGAATTATATTAGTAGACAAAGTTTGAATTGTCTTTTTTGTAAGCAATAGAAATAGCAAGCCCTGCTTCATTTTTTTAGATGAATATCAGGCTGGAAATATTATCAATGTGCAAGACCTTCAGAATACATGTCTAATCTGGCCTGCCAATCCAAATTATCTGGCCTCAAACAAAATATTTCTTTATCTGGAACACTGTCCAGAATGTCAAGGTGGGTGAAGATGCAGGAAAGATAAGGAAGAGCCATTTCTAAATGCATCTGCTAACTTCATAGCAGCTTTCTCCCAGGAGCTATTTATCATAAGGAGTGGGCTTCCATTTTGTTTCTGTCCCAAATTATATCACCAAGCCGCATAAGAAATGTTCCCATTCCTTGTTTAGAAGCTAGTACGATTTTCATATTTTTATTAATAATGCTTGGGGTTTTGTCATGTAAAAAATATCCCCAACCTGATATTTTCAAGGTGTATTACTAATATTATCCCAAATTTTTCAACCAGCATGTACTGGAAGTTGTTCTATAATCTAGTACTATAATATTGAGGAAGGCTAGTTTCCAAGATTTAAATCCTAAAGCCACAATTATTTTTTCTAGATGGATAATAGGACTTATCCTGCTATTACTTTTCCATCTTTCCATGGCTTTCAACTTTATCAGTCACAATATTTTGGGGAAAACTTTTTCAGATGGAACTCCTTTTGGGGCCCAAGTTTAATTCATGACATGATGCATCTTTTCTCAAGTGATGGCCTTCCTAAACAAAGAAAACCTAGCTACCATAATCTATATGTATTGTTAACATTCTGTTGGTCTGTTACCATTCATTGTTTGTGGAAATCTTTTAAAGAATCAGAAATATTGCCAAAAATGTGTATGTGCTCTATATACTGTGCATGTGTGCAACAGAATAGGGTAGAGCTATAGATCTGATAGATTTTTGTTCACTTGATAATAGGTATGATGGATATACCACTTTGATGATATAGAGCTATTTGGGGATAAGGGTTAAAGGCACAAGATGAGAAACTGGAAGTCCATTTTAATCTTGCCTTACATACAAAGCCAGCTGGGTAATTTTGGACAAGTTACTTTCTCTCAGTCCTAGAAAGAAGACAATGGCAAATCACTTTTGAAAAGTTCTGCTAAGAAAAATGCGGGAGTCAAGATTCACTCATAGCACATATACACACAAAAGTTTCATGATATTATTCAGGTATTATATGAATTGGAATAGTCATCACACAAATCTTTTCAGTAACTCTACTCTCCCACCAACCATGCTTAACTGTGCATTCAGAACAGAAAGTTAAGATTAACATATCCTGAAAGCTAGCATCTGCAGAGCTAAAAATGTAAGAGTAAAGAGCAGAGTAAAATGTGACTAAGACAAGTCCAATCAGGTGTCTGCAGGAAGCTAGCCTAATCCGAGAAACAGTGGGGGGACTTATCAGGAATGTTCACATGGTGAGTATTCCACATTTGCACAATGCCTAAATGGAAGCCTAAATAGAAGGTATGCTTCTATGAAATGTGATAAATAGTATTAAAACGTTTCTTGACAGGAAAGCTGCAGTCAAATGGATAATGAAAGTGATGTAAAAACTGAAGAGGGGAAGGAGAAGAAGGAAGAGGAGGAAGAGGAGGAAGACAACACTCAGACTAATGACAAAGATAGCCTAGCTGCCAGCTTCAACGAAGAAGTGAAAAATCAAGTGCAGCCTCACTAACCAACTAGGTCTCCAGACTGTAGCACAATTATTTTGTTTGCCAAGTTCTAGTTTGTAGGTGTTTTATTTTTGAAGATTAAAAAACCATGATTTTTATTTAAAGCTAAATTATATCAGCTGCATCATATGTAACATGGCTTATTATTGATGAAGAACACTGGATATACTAACAAAATACAAACCCTTTGCACATACTTTTAAACCTGTTCAGTTTACAATGACAGTACTGTTTATATTAGGAGTTTGATTTCCAAATAATTTGAGGTTTTAGAACATTTTCATACACACTGTATATTGTTTTTCCATGGAGGGAATTTTAAAAGTATAATGATGCATTTATCATTGAATAAATATACTCCTGTGTGTACATATTTATAGCCCAAAAATGAACTATAGTTGCAATACTAAACCCAAACATACTTGCAGAATTCTTACAGATACTACTAGGAATTGCACACATGTTGATATTACAATATTGCATCTTTGGATAGCAATTTGTTTTTAATATTACTGCAAAATAAATACATGAAAATTTAAAAACAAACTTGTACAAAATGCACTAAGAAGTATCTCTATGACTTAGGGCTACTACATAGCTTAACGAATGTTTTCTTTCAAAATATAATCTAACAAATCAGCCATAGAAGTTAGTGTAAATATTTTCTTTCCAAATAGAAATCATATACAAAAGACAACATTCAAATTATATAGAATCTAGTTTTTAAAATCAGTACAGATCTTCTTAAAACTGTGAACTATGTTTTGAAATACTCGTTACTAAAGCTGTTTATAAACCACAGGTGCCATAAAATCCCTAAACTAATTGTATAATCTTCATTGTATTATTTTGTTGCAGTTTTAGAACTTTCTTTCACATTATCTCCATCTTTCATATCTTGTTGGTTGAGGCCTTCAGCTTTAAATGTACAGGCTTTAAAAGATTGCTTGCAATTACTTTCTTCTCTTATTTTTGAATGTGCATTGCCTTAGTCAACCATCAGTTGTTTTGTGTGCGTTCTTGGAAATGGGCCAGGGGTATTTGCAGGGTATTGTCAAAAAATCAAGATGGCTGCCATGCACATCTTGCAATGTACATAAACAGGCAGAACGTTTATCACATTATCATGGCTGCCATTTTGCCTTTTTTTAATCTTACCCTCTGGACACTCCTGGAATGAGTAGAGAGACTTTCTTCAGGGGCCAAATGGGGTAAACTGCTAAATATGAAAAGCACATGGCGGGGGGGATGTGTCCTTTCTAAAAAGAAAAAAAATACTTTATGTAATTATAGCAGTATCTCTTTTGAGTAAATCTTAATACGCTATTTAAAAATAATAGGAGGCTGCTCCCCTGAGGATTATAAATGGAAAAGATACTTTGCAATCTTATTTTCCCTATACAGTAAATTAGTTACAAGCAAATTTTAGCCCTGAGGAAAACAGCAAATGATTTAGAAATTGGTAGGTGTTTAGGGCAATGTTTATTAATGATGCAACAATTCTGTCATTAAGCATGAATTTAGAATAGCTCAAATATGTAAATCCAAAGTTATTGTTAAAAGAATAATAATAACTCCTTAAACTTGCTTATATATTGTATTGTCCAAATTAAAAGAGGAATCTTTCTGTTGATTCTACAAGGGACATGCTTCAGATCAAAGATATATGAATTAAATAACTCTAGCTACTTTCTCACTCATGCACAAAATAATTGTTATTCCTGGCATCTTCCTTCTCGTGTCTTTCTCAATATTGTCTCTATGTAGTCAAATCACAGCATTTAGAGAACTGCAGAAAATTATTTTAAAAAATGTTTACATAGAGACACCCCAGAAATCCCACCTTCGCAATAATTACTCTTTACTCCTGTAATGTCTACCATCTTCACATGGTGGATACATAACTTTTGACAACTTACCTCTCCTATGCCCTTCTCTCAGGAACTGGTTACTCTCTACTAGTGCCTAGCACACATCAGTTAATACTAGACAGTATATTGGCAATTCTTGCTGACAGCTCAGGACTCCAGCCAAGTATTTCCTAAAGAAAAGCAAAATTTTATGAAAAAGATCTAAATCCAGCTAGATACGTACAGTTAGAGTAGTGATTGTGTTTCTCTGATATAGTCCTTAATTTACACATCCATATTGCATATAAAGCTCATGCATAAATCTAAACTTTGGAAAATCTGTGCAAAACTTACTGTCATCACAACATATGCACCATTCTCTCAGTCTGTTTCAGCACAGATTCCTCAAAGCAGAACTCTAGGTTGCCTCTTATACTTACTCTTATAGTCCAAGTTAAAGCACTTTTTCATTTGCCTCCAAAATCAAAACCTAAATTTGCTACATCAATCAGTGTTAAGCTGACAGTGGCTCAGCATAGACAATACTGTCCCCTGATTTCTATCCAGCATCTGGGAAACAAAACTGTCATGATCTAACAGAGCAACTCAACCTCCTGGGCCATTAACCAATGTGTAAGTATAACATTTGAATAAAGATATGCTTGCATAAGACTTCACTAACAAAGGCCTTAATCAGATCATCTGTTTCTGTATTTTGTCTATTCCTAACGGAATAGGATAATATGTGGATGTCCTTATTCAGATACACATCAACTTGCATGCCCAAGGAATCCAGGCCCAAAGCTAGTGTTACAGACATACCTTTCCATGCACAATGAAGCAAACATGTAAAGAAAGTTGAGTGAGAGTTTTGTCTCAAATGGGGCAATGTTTTAGCCCATATAGTCTTTGTTTGCTAAACATGTTTGGATGGTGAACTTCAAAGTTACTGGAATGGTTGAAATAGCCATTTATCATTTTTCATGGCTAATTGCTATAGCCTAAAACTCCTTGTAGATTGTTAATGGAAAGATCATTAAGAGGCAGGAATTAGAATGTGAAAATAGCAGGATTCTTGAATGTTGAAAGAAAAGAGAGGATAGAATCTCTGTAAGTAGTAATGTTAACTTTAAAACTGCATTAAAAGGTGTGTGGCCTTTGTTGTGATAATATGTATTTTCTTATATGCATGAGAAAAAATGTTGCATCATTATTTAGCACAGATGTCTGCCTTTTACTTTAGCCACTTTCCTCCATTCTTATAAGTTCCTTGGAATTGCTGTAGATATATCTTGTAAATACCACAACTGCGGGTTGCAGCAGTTAGGTTGGTTCAATTCAGTGCCAGAGCCTTGAATGACAAGACATGAATTTATTTGTGAACCAAAAAGTATGAAGAATTACATCTTGAAGCTACTAACTGTCTGATGTTTTTAACTACTGTTATTTCACACCAGTCTGAACAGACACACTGCAAATTTTACATTGTCCATTGGTATTGTAAACAGAACTATTATTGTATGGGGTTTTTTGTATTGCTGTTAAGTATTGTTTTGTGCGTGTGTGCGTGTGTGCGTTAAGCCTACTGGGGACATATTTTGAAGTGATTAAACTATTTAATTGTGTGTCTATATTTTGGAATGGAATTATTTCTTCATTAAAAAGAATTTTTAAAAATAATTCATCGAGTCTCCATTCTTGCTGTTTGCACTGAATCCAAGATACATTTTCCCCTATTCCAGCAGAATTCTTTCTTAGATTCATTTAGAAAAAAGAGGTATGGAGATACATATTTTTTAACAATAATATCTAAGATTGCTAACATCAGAATGACACGATTATCTCAAAAAGTATGGTCACCAGCAGTATTGACAGATGTAATGACTCTCCAATCAGATTGAAACTCTGTTAGAACTTAAACATTTCCAGATGAATTAATAAACAGGGGAATTTATAATTTTATTCTTATGATGAAAAAATACTTTTAAAAAATCTGCAATGGTGGTGAGGAGGAGAATCTTGGATTTCTTACAGATACAGCTTCAGACGAGTAAAGAATTACAATTCCAGTGGCAATCTGTTAGCCAAAAATTACCAGCTTTTTCCCTCCCAATGTTTTTATGGTCAGCATTCAATTGTTGCACAAGTGAATTTTTATTTATGGAACAAGATTTTGCTCCTAATTCTTCAGGACCTAATTTGAAGGAGACAAGTCGTGCTACTGGATTCCTTAGGGAAGTGTGGAATTAATAGCCTCCCAGATAATATTAAATTACAGTTTTATCACCTAGCCAGCATAGCCAATGGAGAGAGATGCAGCAACTGTACTTCAGCCATATTTTGCAAAAATGGTTATATAATCTCTTATTTTCCTCATTTTCTTTAAACTTTAAATTGAATTTTATTTGAAAGATGCTAGGGATGAATGTCTGGGACTTAAGAAAAAGATAATTATTAAAGAGAACTAGAGCATGCTGAAAGTGCTCAGTGTGTTTGTTTGCTTTTACTACTCTTTATATTTGGCTATTCAACAATATGGTGTTAGGGCTTAAGTGTTTTCTTCAATATAGAGTAAAAAGGATATTGACCGTAGTGTTCCCTTTATATGTATCTCTTATTTACAGTTCTGTGATGGCAGGAGTATTTTCTTTTCTATACTCATTCCTTCCAAAGACCAACAAACCATCCTGTATATCCTGGCAAGCAGCATAATTAATGCTCAAGGGACTTTGCTGCTCAAGGGACTTTGCTGCTAGGAAATTCCCTCTATAGTTCTTTTAAAAAGGGATGTTTATGTCATACAAAGAAACATAGGGAAAAAAACAAAGTTTATAGAAGATTATTGAGGATTTTAGATGAATTGGTTTTTGAAAATGATATACGAATTACACAGGCATTTACCCAAAACTTTGCAGCAATATATATAGTATACAGCATTCAGTTTAGAGGTTCACTAAGAAGCACACAAGATATACCCATTTTTGTCTTTTGTCAGAAATTCTAAGAGTAAATACAGCCAGAATGATTATAGATAGAAATAGCATTTTATTCCTTACATTTACTGGGCAAGAGTCCTGGAGTTCTTTGGGTTAAATATGCTTATTATGCAAGTAGATTAGCATGCACTTTTTCTGATATATGTATAGAAAACAATTTTGTATATACTTGTGTATAGCATGACATCAAACTGGTTGAAAAAATCTTGTCTTCAAAGATGTTGAATCAAAATGCACTCATCTTCCTTTTGCATATGGAAGATGGCACAATTGGCAGCCGAACCTTTTCAACATTGGAGAGTCAATATAGATGATACTGAGTGCAGTATGTATGATCCAGAGGATACAGAGCCTTCCTTGCTTTTTTACAAGGCCCTCAATCTGGAGAAATACCTAAGTTTTGAATCTGAGAACAAGAATACTGCCATCAAGTGCAAAAAGAAGTTGTCACTTCTGTCTTGATAAGCTACCTAGGATAGACCTTAGATCATCAACCTGTCCTTTTGAATTAAAAAATAGGTAGCAAATTGTGATAACAAAAAAAGTAAATAAACTTAATCATGTTCTGTTGAGTCCTACAACAGGCCTGAAATTATAGTAGGTTTTACATCCCATTGAAACATACATTGGTTTAGCCATGAAAGTATAATAAATTGAAATCCCAAGCCATCTGGAGATGATATGTTGGCTAAAGTTGGATTATAATCTATCAGTCGCAAGGATATTTATTCTGCTCCATTAATCATTTCTTCACTAACGTCTAGATGTTTATGAACTTCTTATTCAAAAGGTATGCATTAAACATTTGAAAAGAGAAATGATCACGGAAAGAAAGAACCGTGGTGCTGCAATTTACATTTTTTCTCTCTCTCTCTAACCTATAATTATTTATTCAAAAACAAGTTAAATATAAGTTGCTCTCAAGTAAGCAGGTACAACATTGCAGGCATACAGAGTAAAATATTGTTGTAATTGTTTAATATTACTTATGGAGATATTTTCTTAAGAAACTATAAAAAATCCATAAATACTAAAAAGATCAACTAACTAGTTTATGGCTGAGGTGAAAATTAAAGGCCATGTGACAATTTTATAGTTGAGATTAACTCTACAGCTTATTCTCTTAATCACCCCACGATACTTGTTCCCCATATCTAAAGGGATTTGGATATTAAAATATCTCAAGAATGATAAGTTATGAATTTGAAAATAAAGAACCTAAAAGGAAAAGCTCCAGAGGGGAAAGTGCAAGAAACACTAGACATAATTATAATCCTTTCAGAATACTAGGTATGCAGGTCCATACTCTACCATACTCTAATTTTATTACTTGAATATCCTCTGATGAAAAAGAAACCAGCACAATATAGGACTGAAAAATCTGGTGTGAACAACGCCATTGTA